AAGGTTAGGCTGCCATGTCTAGGAGAAAGACTTACTCCCCGAATTTGGTAGGTCTATCTCGAATAAGTTTTATAATTATTAACAGGTATTTGCAAAGTTTTAATTGCTGGATGTAATGAATTGGAACTCGGTGTGAAAACAAAGCAGAAAGCTCTCCACTTGATGAGTTTTTACCCCAGCCACACAGTTCTCAACAAAACTTTTCCTAGGCTGTGTAGCAAAAAAGCACCTTCGGTTACCTGAATGGACAGGTACAGGGCAAATTATTGGGGGGGGGCGAGGGAGAAAGGAGGGGGAAAGAAAAGAGAGTAAGGGGAGAGCAAGAGAAAGCAAAGAAGCCACTCTTGGGAAAAGCCTGCCACCAAGGAGCTAAAACCACCTGAAATTCCTGCCCACAGACACCCGGATCACTCCAGACTAACATCCCCACTCAAAATGAGAAAATTAGAGGAGGATGGGGGGAGCACACCAAAAAAAAAAAAAAAGGATAAAAAGAGGGGAAAAAGAGAGGGGGAGGGAAACCTACCTGCGAAGTCTTGTTTGTAGTTTTGGCCAGAAATGGTGAGAAGAAAAAGCATGAAGAAGCCGCGAAGTGTGGGGGAGAAAAAGGTGGAGGCGAAGAAACAGCTCCCGGAGCAAACTGTACAAAACCTCGCCAAGAGTGTCGGGAGGCAGGACCGTTATTCCTGCCGAGCAGGTTAGAACTGATCTCTTTTCGGCCACTCCAGGAAACACAAACCTGGGGACGGACTGACGTGTTACGCCTCTTCTAATGACATTTTTTTCTTTTTCTTTTCTGTAGGGGAGAGAAGAGAGACCCTGAAACACGCGCCACCTATCTTTGTGGGGAGGGATAATTGAAGCGCCCTGAGCGTGAGCATCATGTGAAAACGTGATCGCCAAGTTTCTCTCTGGGAAAGGATCTGGGATAGATTATACCTTGAAGTCTCCGCAAACGCTTTAGTGGAAGAAATGAAATTCCACCTCCCTCCCTTCCTCTCTCCCTCCCTCCCTTCTCCACGCCCCCCCCCCGCTCCCCCCCCCAAGCCTTTGGCATCATTATCCTCATCACTAAATCCTGCAGAGTACTGGGCGGAAAACGGTGCACACCATTCACAGAACTGGAGAACTCCGAGGGGCGAAAGTTAAAGGGAAAGATTTGGGTCTTCCATGCAAATTTCTTTTATCACACAGACACCGCTGATGAGTAGGCTTGAGGGGCACATCAAGTTGTCTGGATACCCAAAGCACCGTTTTTTGGAGCTAAATTCTTGCCCTTTCTCTTATTACTTTTTCTTTCTTTTCTTTTCTTTTTTTAGAGATGCCAGAGCCAGGGGAGGAAAATGCTACTTGTGCACTGCATCTAAGGACCTTAGGATTTGTGTGTGTGTGTGTGTGTGTGTGTGTGTGTGAGTGTGTGGAGAGAGAGAGACAGAGAGAGAGACAGAGAGAGAGAGAGATTGAGAGAAAGAGATTTTCTGGATTGGATCCCTATATTAAAAGAACTTTGACATTTTAATAAAGGGTCTCTAGATTAACATAGAGCAGCACTAGGTTGGCCAATCACTGGATCTCTCTACATCTTATGCAGACCACACTACACAGTGAGGGGGTCGGGACAGGAGGAAAAAAGGAAAAAGGCCAGAAGAGCTTAGTACGATAGAAAGAAAAGGGTGACATTAAACTGTGTAGGGTCGAAGTTTTGGAGTACATCTTTTTGATATTGCAATTAAAGTAAAATTAAAAAGAAAAGACTCCACCTTAGCTCTGAAGGGATTGGTTATGCAAATATGGAAGGGATTTCCTGGAGAATACAGCTTTCTACTGTATGGTTAATTAAATAATCACTCAAAAGCTTCCAACGTGACGCTTCTGTCGTAATCCAATCAGGTTACATAGGTCCTAAACAAGAAAGATATTTTCCACATCTGGAAGTCAGCAATTTAGCAAGTACTGCACATTATTAACCAATTCAGAGCCCACTTCCCAGGGGAATTTTTTTGAAGTTTAAGTGTTCTTAACCAATGCTCTGCTGTTTTGTTAATCAAAAAGCTGGTTTACACTGCACATAATTGGAACTAATATAGAAGTAAATAAAGACAGCCAGATTTGAGGATGCTGTGTACAAGCATGTATCGGAAAAGGAAGAAACTGCTCTGCCTTAACAGTTCAGGCTCAATTTCCTAAAGTACTAGAAGACCCCTCCCCAATTCTTTTAAATAGTGAAAGTATGTAAGAACCTCAGAGCACAGATAATGCCCAGTTCTACAGCCTGCAGGCTCCTTGGGCAAAGGTAAACGTGGAGGTGTGAAGAGGACCAAACAGCTGCTGCCTCTTATCAGTCTCTCTGCTCTAATACTTCAAATATGCCATGGTCCCCTGTTTTCAGTCTCTGAAACAAATAATACCCTGATCCAACACTAGACTTTTACTCATATTAAGATAAACTGCTTTGAACTGGGCTTTGAATGTGTGCCTACAGCAAGACTTTGAATGCACTGGCGATTGCACTCCAAGGAGGGGAAAGCCACCATAGGGGCTGCCACATCCACACTCCCAGAGCTACAGGGCTTTGCATTTTGCATGTTTATTTTTCAGTGGTGGTGGGGGGAGGGCAATAGCCACCCAGCATGACCACAGCTAGATTTCATTCTAGGGTGCAGAAAGCGGATTTTCACAGTTGGTTACACACTCACCTCTTTCCTAATTTGAGCACTTACAATGAGAATGATTGGATAAATTAATTTCCCCCCTTACCCCCATGGCAGATAAAGTACCTATAGATGGTCTATAGGTTATAGAGATTTTCAGTAAAAAATATTAATAAAAAGATTTCCAACATGGATCAAACATATTAGTCTAATATTTATATTTCTCATACTATCTTGTATCTGTACTAAATATATGTAAGACTTATCAAGTTTCCTCCTCTAAGATTTATCATTACGGGTCATATCTTCTTTCCTTCCTTCTCTTTCCTTTAAAAAAACAAAAAAACAAAACAACCAGAGACCAGCTTTCTCCCAAAGTGTGCTTTAACCCTCCCTCTCCCACTGCGGAGGAATAAGGAGCCTGTTGTAGGGGGTGACTACTGGCAAGACCCTTCTGCAGGCACCCAGGCAGTCAGCCACTGGACGGTTTTTTAGCTCACACATTGGTGCAAAGGCACAATGCGACTAAGGAGCAAGTCGAACAAATAACTAACAAATCACTGTCTTTATCATGGATATAAAATATCGTCTTACTTCAGATCCGACAAAATAGACTGGTGACTATTTCTATTAAAAACACCCCATTATCTGATTACCTTGGGCTCAGTCATCGTTCCAGTGCCAGGAGGCGGCCCCCAATAGTTTGCACTGAGTTTCGACATGTTTTCCCATGTATTTGGTATGGGGGGGGGGGGACAAACAGAACAAAACAAAACAAAACCAACTTCAATTTCCTAGGTTCCTATGAAGGTGGACGTTTGGGTGGTGGCAAGGGAAAGATCGCGAGGGCTGAGCGCAGGGCTAGGTTGCCCACTTGCCTGGCACGCCCCTCCCCAAGCTTTTGACCGAGAGTGTTCCCACCATCACAGAGGCAGTACGACCAGAGGAAGCTGGAATATAAATTTGTTCGGAACACTCCCTCGGTCCCAGGGCCAGGTCAGGGACAATGGGGAACCGTGGGATCCACATAATACAGGAGCGCAGGATGAAAAGTCCAGAGGGACCAGGGACCTCTCAGAGGCTCCTCTCGCCGCAAAATAAGTCCTGCGGAGGGAAAGGCTGGCTCCTTTTCGGACTGTTTTCCCCGTGAATAATCCACCTCGAGATTAGCGCAGGCGAAGGGGATTAAAACAACAGATACATGCAAATTCGAAATAGTATTGACATCGACATTGGAGGGGAAAATAATTCTTGAGGGTTTCCTTGGGTAAAACCAACTGCTCCCCTCAGGACCCCCCCCTACCCCCACACCCCAAGGCTAGGGTGAGGAGGACACCCTTTTGTTTTCCAGTTCCCGGCAGCGGACCCGGAGCCTGTCCCCCCATTCACCTCTCAGTCTGTCAATTTCCTCAACTTTCACAGTCGCTCCCCCGCCCCCACTCCTCTTGCTGGCCCACAGGCCCAAGGAGGTACGTTTCTGCCCTTGAACACACAGGCTGAAGAAAGCGTTCGAATTTGGCCACAGCTAATGATTTTTTTTAAAGCAAATTGTGTTTATTTTGTACCATGTGGGGAAAATAAAAAAAAAAAAGGAGTCTATCCTGGTTTAGAAATGGAACTGATCTTTCATCTAGAGGAATTATTTCAATCCTGTGTTGCTATGCAGGAAGTGGATAACTTCTTTTGGAGTTGCGAGCAAAGGCTGATGCCCCGGACCCCCTGGATTAGGTGTGTGGGGGAGACGGAGGGGTCTGAGCAGAGCCAAAAGGTTCTCTCACGTGCAAACTCGCAATCCAATCCATTCGGAGTTGAGCCTAGGATGGGGGGGGGGCTATTAAAAAAAAAATCGGAGCGTCTCAGAAAAGCCCTTTCAAACAAAACCAAAACAAGACCGAAGAGCCCAAGACCGTCCCTCACCTCCCTGCTGCGAGGCCCGCAGGCTGTGGAATCTCGCACGTCACCTAGCCCCAGCGGGGCGGCCAGCTGAGGATTTTTATTTTCCTATTTTTATTTGAAGTAGAGGCTGCATCTCGGCTTCGGGGTGTTTGCCAACGTCTCTACTGACAGGAACCAGCAAACTTCAGGACTCAAATGAGCATCTTAATTTATTGATGCAAAGCAGGTCTGTCTGCTCGCAGTTCCCCATCCCCGGCGCGCTCCCCCCCCAGCTCCCCCCTGCCCCTCCCTCCCCAACCCCCCCCTCCCTCCAGCCCGGCCGCGAACTTCGCTCCCTCCGTCAGTCCCGGAGCACGTGGGGGGCTCGCGGGCCCGCCGCCCTCCTCTGCACACACCCGACCCCGCCCTGGCACCGCGCGACCCCCGCCCCGCTCCCGGTCAGCTGACCTGGCTCGCCGGCCTGCTCCCCGCCCGCCGCCCCGTTTCCGGTCCCCCGGGTCCGCGAGCCCCGCTCCGCGAGGAAGCAGCGGCGGCCGGGAGGTGATGCAGGGGGCTGATTATCATGAGAAAGGCTGTGCCTGGAAAAGCCTCCTCCACGCGACTGTCAATCTCACAAAGGGGGGGGGGAGTGGTGGTGTTGGAAGGAGAGGGGCTCTGGAGGAGTCACCAGAAAACTTGCAGCAAGTTAGATGCGACACGCAGGCCCGAGGAGGTGGCTTTCGCCTCAACTTGGAAGGCTGGGCGTTAAGGGTGCGGACGCCAGCAGCCTCGCCGGGGGATTGGAAACCCAAACCTCCCTCCTTCCTTTCCTCTTGCCCTCCTTTCGGCCCGCTCTGCCCTTTATCCGTATTCTCTTGCAATTCTCTCGCAATTGCATTTTGCACATTCTCCTTTCTCTCTCTATTTCTTTTGCAATCTCGTTTTCCTCCCCAATTTACCTTCCTTGTAAATGTTTTGGTGTCTCCTTTATATGTCCAGATTTATCATTTCGTTTTCAAAACAGTGTTTAATATGCAATTAATCTACCAGCAGGAGGTCAGGGACACCCTGACTAAAATAACTCCCGGGTCTTATAGACAAGTTCGCCAGGTGTCAGTGAAAAGTAAAATAATAATGAAAATAAATGAATATCTCAGTGACCGTAACAGTTTATTACTCTCTATTATTGTATCAGCTCTGACAGATAATTTTTTTAAAAAGACATAATCTTCTTGGAAAAATATGGAAGTATTTGACACAGGGAGAGTTAGTATAATTAAGGCAATATGCAAATTGTTCTTATAAATACATTATTTTAATCATGCTTGTCAGACTTTAGAAATGATAGTAGGTAAATTCAAGAAACTGGTTTTTCTTTTAGTGATTATTGGAAAGTGTAAAATAATAATAAAAAAAAAACCCAAAGTAGTCTCTCTGCCCCTCAACACAGACAGATCAAGTCAGGCAGAAGCAGCCTGTTACGCGGTCTGTTAACTGCCAGCAGATCCACAGCTTGGGTATGTGGACTGCTTTCCTGGCCAGGTTGCTGTCCGTTTCCTAGCAGGTGAGTGAACATGAGGCTTCCCATGTCATGAATTGGCTCCACTTACAAATTTCATGATGATTATAATTATTGTTCTCTCCTACACTTTGAGCACAGTTGTAGCTCTCTTATTAAAAATCAGAGCTTGCTCTTGTTTACAATTTGTTTACTTTGTTGAATTTTTAAAACTTGTTATGAGTCAATTGAACATGTACACTAAGCCCTTTTTTAGGTCAAGAAAAATAAAGATGCGTTAGAAAGATGCCTTTTAAGCTTCATAATTATTAATTGACATTTTATGATGAATAATTAATCATCTGAATAATTTTGGTATCTCTGATCTGAACACATATTTGCATATCTAATGCTTGATTTTAAATGTGTGTTTTTTAAAATTCATTCTTTCAGATAAAGAAATAAAGTGATATTTTAATGTGAAATTTCTGTACTTGTAAAAGTTTGTTATGCTATTATATTCTTTCTAGAGATCCATAAAACTTATTAACAATTTGTAAGCCATTTATGTAGCAAGCACATTGAAACACATGGCAGATGTACAATTAGGAAAATGATCTCCATATGAAATCAAGTAACTCTTCGCCCTAAATACGTACATTAATTATGTACCATATATCCTTATTGGAATGTGGTCATTGAACTTCTTGCTTTATTTACTCTGTCTTAAGCAGAAATATGAGGCATTTGACAAACAATTCAGGTTTGATATTTAGATAAGTTTTCATTTATTGCTTATTAATATGTGGGCTGGCTGAAGTTATTTAAAAATGATTAGGCAAGTCTGTCCATGTTATTTTTATGATGCTGAAGTTCAAGTGTCTATCTGATTATTCTCTTTATGATCACAAGCAATCCACTTTACGCTTGTTTCTTTATTTCCAGTGGGTACAGTCACTGCACCTATCCCTCAGGGTATTGTTAAGAATTAAATGAAGTAATTCGTGAAGCTTCACTGTGTTGTAGTTTTATTATAATGGAAACTTGGACAAATAGTATTGACCATCCAGGTCACATAAAGCCAGTAGTCCCAAGTAATTTTGAATATTGTAGGATTTATGGTTGCTTATGATTTCCTAGGACTGTTCAAAGGGTGTGTAGCCACCAGAGTACAAACAAATAGAGCATTTTCTTTCTGCTAATTCAGCAGTTAATTTATTATATCCAATATGGTCCTAATTTGGGTATGAATATCAGATTCTTTTGAAAAGGAATTTAGCCCAAATGTCTGAATGTGAGGTTTCCTGTGTTCTGTAATCATGTACTGTCTTTGAGTTTAAAGGTTAAGTGTGCAAAAGCCCAGAAGCGATCTTAAGGAAGAGTCGTGAATAAAAGGAGGCAAACTCACAAATTTGGAGACAAGGAGGCTGCTGCAGCGCTTTTCTCTAAGACCAGTCCTGAAGTAGTGAGCATTCTCTTTCGGACTTGTGTCCTGGAGTTTATGATGATTTCCAGCACCTGAAGTGGGGAAGAAAGTCAGTTTATTAAGTGGAAAACAAAATCTCCTAGTCTCTTAAATGTCCACAGGGCCAGATTTTCTTTTTGATGCAAAGCTTAAAAATGAATGCAAATGCTGAATGGAAAATATTTTGGTATTTAGTCAAAATACTGAAGGCTTTTTGCTGTTTTTCAAGATTCCTAGGAGCACTTATAATTATTTGTAGTTCTTAAAGGGTTCCTTAATTGTTCCATTTCTCAAAGGATCCATTCCATATTCCTTGTAGGTTAAAAATACCACAAGGAACCTTTGGAATCAGCTTAGGAGTTTGGAGTGACCTGTACTGTTTTCTTCTTTGCCTGCTAATGGTATCAGAAACAGCTTGCACCTACAAGCTGTCTGATGGCCTAGTTTTATATTCCTCTGCAGTCTTCTTTAACCCTCTATAATTTGCCAAAAGTTCAAAATTAGAAACTTTGGACTGGGAGCTGATGAAATGTTCAGTCAAGGCCTGAAAGCTTGGGTATAACCCTGGGGACCCAGCGATGGCAGGTGAGAACAAACTCCTCTGTGTCACCTTTGACCACCACAACAACACTGTGGCGTGCACACCCACAACAGAAACACAGTTCAATAAGTAAGTGTAACAAAAATAATTTGAAACTTGGTGCTATGTTCGGTTTTGACTTTACATAATTCTAAGGATCAGAGGAGGGCATGGTAGAAGAGTAAAGAAACCTGTTTCTCTGGAGTTGACCTGAGGCTAAACCATCTCGGATCACATTTGATTTGGACAGAAGATCCAAAGGAGCTAACCTCTCCCATCATTTTGTCAAGCGCCTGTGGGCTTGGGAGAATTAATGACTGTTTGTGGGCCTTTCAGTCACAGAGAATGCCACCCTCATGAGACAACCAATGTGGTCATTCAAGGAGTCCTGATCTATTTGTGATCATTGTTTCTGCACTGCATTGTGACTCATTTCCTGCATGCTGCCATTGGTCTTTTTTTTTTTTTCCTGAGACAGGGTTTCTTCTCTGTACTGCTTTGGAGGTTGTCCTGGAACTCGTTCTGTAAACAAGGCTGGCCTCGAACTCACAGAGATCTGCCTGCCTCTGCCTCTTGAGTGCAGGGATTAAAGGCGAGTGCTGCCACCAATGCCCGGCTGCCTTTGGTCTTTTGGTTTTTGTGTATTGTTTACTTATTTACTTTGTCCTCTAGGCCAATATTGATGTTCTTTTTTTTTCTTCAGTTACAGTACTAGCTCAAGTCCTTTGTTGTTGTTTGTATGTTTTTTTGAGACAGGGTTTCTCTGTGTAGTCCTGTCCTGGAACTCGCTCTGTAGACCAGGCTGGCCTCAAACTCAGAGATCCGTCTGCCTCTGCCTCCCAAGTGCTGGTATTAAAAGCGTGCCACTACCTCTTGGCTCAGTTCAAGTTCTTAAATATTTCTCTGGCTTTGGAGTCTCTGGCTTACAAAGTGTATTTTGCGATCCAAGTCCTTTTTTCAGGGTTCCCTGCTCAGGTTAGATCCTTTAGGGGAGATGACTACCCAGGCCTAAGCACTGAACTTAAGTATTTGATTGGTGATAGAGACTTCATCAGCCACCGGCGGGTCAGGAGAGCTTAGATTCTTCCCATGATTTCCTTTAGCACTCTTGAGTAGAGCTTGAACATTGTTGTGTGTTCTACCTTAGCTTATTTTAATTGTCCTTGGTGATAAGAGTGTGCTGGCTAGTTTTATGTCAACTTGACCCAAGCTAGAGTTATCTGAAAGGAGGAAACCTCAATTGAGAAAATGCCTCCATAAGTCTGCCTGTAAGGCATTTTCTTTATTAGTAATTGATAGGGGGAGGGCCTGGCCCATTCAGGGTTGTGCCATCCCTGGGCTGGTGGTCCTAGGTGCTATAAGACAGTAGGCAGAGCAAGTCATGATGAGCAAGCCAGTAAGCAGCACCCCTCCATACCGTGCATCAGCTTCCTGCTCTCTTTGAGTTCCAATCCTGACTTCCATCGATGATGAACAGTGGTATGGAAGTGTAAGCCAAATAAACCCTTTCTTCCCCAACTTGCTTTGGTCATGGTGTTTCACGACAATAACAGTAACCATGACTGTGACATGTAACATAGCTTCAAATACACACATTTTGAAATTACATACACTAGATTTGATTCCTTGCTTTGTGAGACTTGATTTTGTGTTACACAGATGCAGTTTAACCCTATGAACCTCGGTTTAGGAATGAACAAAAACGTGTATATTTCAGCTGGTTGTTAGCAGGGAATTTATGACAAACATGTAAAGTAACGTTAGGTAGTCCTGCCGATGGATGCTAAGACCTGTCTGTGGATAACCTGAAACAGACATGAGGTTAAATTCTGAAGCCAGAGTGAACATCGTCTTAGGTGATGCTGCGGGATTTCATTTTTTGTAATGACTTCATTGCTTTTTATTTGTCTTACTGATTTTACTAGGAATTCTTTAATTGGTTCTCGTATCCTAAAAAGATTAATGTTTACTGACAATAATGTCAAACCATAATCGGCTTATAGGATTTTTAAATTCATAATAGAAAGAGTGGGGTGCCCATAATTATAAACACCGTGATACTAACAGCAGCAGTTAAAAAACTATTCACAAGCCATGCTTGCTGGCTCAGGCCTGCCTGTAATCTGAGCATTCAGGAGGCTGAGGCAGGAGAACCACAAGTTTAAGGCTTCCCTGGGCAACTTGGTGAGATCCCACTGCAAAATAAAAAGTAAGAAGGAGCCGGTGACATAGCTGTGTTACAGCACTCATCTAACATGCACGACATCCTGAGTTCAGTCCCTGGTGCCACAAAACATACTTTCCAAAAATGAAAAATAATTGAATTTAGTTCTGTGTTTCACACTTCCACTTGCCATGGTCAGGGGCATTGTTGTAGCTAATTCTCCATGTGTATCCTGGCCTTAGGGGAAGCCCCCTTCCAGATACCATTCAGTGGCCAAGAAGTGCCAGAGTTTTGTTCAAGGCAAAAGGAGGAGTTCATGCCAAGATTTCCATAGCTGGATGGAGTTGGGAGGGGCAGAGGAATAGAGCAGATTGGAGAAAGTTGGCCTGCATTGTCTTTTCCTCCAGGTTGAGAGTTGTAACATCTGCTTCCAAAAGGCAAAAGGAAGGAAAGAAAAGTGAGACCATGTGCATAACTCAGACTTTGCTTCATTCTCCCCCTGCGCATTTGGAGTAGGGCTGTGTCAGCGGCCCTGGCATGATCTACTGTGTATACGACTTTTCTACCCTATGCCCTAGAAAGGAGGGTATCAAGGGAGGCCTGGCTGTGGACACAGGGAGCATATTGTTGCAACGGTCCTGCTGCAGGGAAATCCAGGCTCCTTTCCCTCTCTGAAACTTACTTTGCTATACACACACACAAACACACACACACACACACACACACACACACACACACACACACAAAGCCATTCTGATTAGTATTTTCCTGGTCACTGTAGAACCACGAGTAAAGTTTCTGTAGTAAAGAGACAATTTTCCTGGGTTGAGGAAAGCTGGCCTACCTATTGTTCGTGG